ATACTGTTCCCATAGTGCCTGAGGCCATGAAAACTTTGAGGATTCAGTGATTTCTGCTACTTGTCAAACAGCAAAATTTTAGCAATATTGAGAAACATCATGCCATAAAAACATAATATAGACTAATATCTTAAGACCAACATGACTCTGGGGTAAGTAGTTGCAGCTTCACTAATACTATAAATGAAACTGCTGACTTTGCATTTATACCTTGCATTCTCCTACATCACTGAACATTCAAGTGGACTCAAAAGCATTTTTTAAAGGTTAATTTCTCCAGCACACAAGAATATGGAGTTTTAAGTATTCTTCAGGAGACTGGTTTAGGTCTGCATTCTAAATGATAAGAATGCCTGCTGCTTGTATGTGATTTCTCTCCCACAGAGTAGTAATGCTTATGCCTATCAGGCCCCCTCTACACGTACAGGTAAAGGCATGATTGGATCTAAAACATGATCCACACAGTTGTGGCCCCTGCCCTGCCAAACATGTGTGGCAGGAGGCGTGATTGTGGGATTGTACATTAGATCCAACTGCACCTTATTGCTGGTGTAGGAGAAGCCCAATCCTGGGCTCCCCCTGGATTGGCAAGAAGCAGCTACCCACGGCTAAAGCCCCCATTGCTGAAGGGGCTGCTAGCCAGAGCCATCCCTTTGTGGTGGGGGGCGGGGGGTGGCAAATTGGGCTGACTGTCCTGGGCTCTGTGCTTTGGGGAGTCCTGAAGACAGTGCTATACAGACCCTGTGGACAGGGCCATTGGCTCTGCTTACCACCCGCCCCTAACCCCACTCCACGTTCCATGCTCTGGCCATTTGCCACCCTGCCCGCCACTCCATGCTCTTGCCACTTGTCACCCCCCACCCCCCACTCTGCACTTTGGCTGCTTGCCACCCCTTCCCCACCAGGCCCCGCACAAGTTGATATACCCTGGGCCCTACACACCCCTAGGGTCAGCTTTGCTCCCAGCCATGGCGGCCACATGCAGCTGGGACCCAGAGACCCTTTAGCTGATGGGGCTCTTGTCCCAGCTCCACCTTGTGCAGTTGGAACCCAGAGACGCCACAGATGATGCATCCTGGCTGAGCATGAGGTGGAGCTGGGATCCAAAGCCCTGTTAGGCGCAGGACTCTTGGTCCTGGCTGCACTTGAGGCACAGCCAGGATGAAGAGTCCCATATAGACCCAGTGTTTTCATGCAACCCCAAGCCTTGGGGATTATGGCAGCCAATTCAAGTTAGTACACGTTTTCAAGGTCTAACTTTATAGCTGGTTGGACCTTTTTATTGTGTGATAGCTACTATTCACATGTAGCTGGTCTCAAGCTAATTGCGCAATTAACCAGTTAATTGCGTGACACTTGTTATGTGTAGAGGGAACTTCAGAGTAGTAATACCTTGCATAGCCCCATGCTGAAAACTATTGAATGAAACCATTCAGTTCTTAACAGATTGTTTATTTTGGACATGGGTTGGGTGTTGGGCTCTTCAAAAATCTTGGACTTTGATGCTTCAGTGTGGTCCTAAAACTTGAAAATAGAGGTAGAATTAATAGATCCACACAATTAAGGGTTTATATTTTAAACCAACTATATACATGTTTTTTATTGGGGGGAGGGGTGAGTTCTGAGTACTGAAAGAATTCATGATGACAAATATATTTACAAGGGTCATCAAAGAAAATAATGATGAGTTTTCAAAGGTCATTTTTACCTTTTGGTTTCCTGTTTAATAGAGGACTGTTGTTATACCATCCTTTAAATGTAAGTACCATAAAAAAATATGATTTTTTTTCCTACCTACACATGCTAAATATTTTTGTAACTAATTAAAATGAACATGGGTGGATAGTAGTGATAGTGGATTACCCATTTATTTGATTTTTCCAAAACAACCTCACATTTGCTTTCCTTTATAATATGACAGTTTCCATAAAGTTCCTGAAAAGCAGGGATTGTAGTGTGTCGCATAATCTTAAAGGATGAGAGCTTATCCAAACAGGATGGTTAGCATCCAGTAAACTAGGCTATGAATGTGTAGTGCAATGGATAAAGTAGCTTCCTATGTGGACACTCTTTGGCCTTTGGCAAATATTGTTTTTATAGTCATAAGCTATTGGTGGCCATACATGGATACCCCCCTAGTTGGAGCATGACAATATGGGGCCGCTTCTTAGCTATCACCCTTTTCCAAGGGACCTTGTCGGAGAGATGCCTGGGAGCCCTTTTTGGAGTGAGGGGGTGGGGAGGGGATGGCAGAGGAGGGATAACAGGGAATGTGGGATACTGTGGGGTCCACATATTAAATTTGTCATGATTTTTTGTCAGCAACTTTTTGTCACAGATCCACCATTTTTGGGTTGGATCAGCTATTTTGTTTGTTTGGTGGGTCAAAAAGCCTGAACTTACAGCTACAGGCCTTTTGTCGTGCTAAAACAGCAGGTAAATAGTGACTAAAATCATTTCTGCTAGTGCCCTTAGTGAGCACTGACAGTAGTTTTGTGCAACACAAACCTTTGAAAGTGGAAGAAGCTGTGCCACATGAAAATACTTAGTGCTCACAAACTGTGGTGTGGTAATTTTGCACTGTGCATTCACATTGTAGCTTACTTGATACTTTTCTAGATAAAAAAACCCTGAATGTATTGATCAGTAACACCGCCAGAGTCCAAATATAAAATTACTTACATTTATTAGCTATCAGCTTTTCAAAAGATTGGGACCACTGTAGTACTTCCTCCAATGACAATCTTTGAAAAAGTGGGAAAGGTTATTGTATGATGATGCAGTTAACTGTAGATAATGTTAGATTTAGTATCATTATCTAAAATATAGAAACATGCTTAATTTGCATAATTATTTTTGCATAGCTAAATAAAACAACACATGTATTCTGCTCTTTGTCAGTCCATTTATTTTTTATATCTTTGATATTGTGTTTATAGTATTGAAGAGATCAATGTTCTCAGTATATTGTGAGTCTACAGTAAAAGTGATGTCACACATCACTTGCAATAGTTGCAAACCATTAGAATGTAGTGACCTATTCAAGTTAGTATGTCGTAGGAGATAACCCTTGTCTGAAAGCGAGCAACTTGGCAATGCCACAAGGGAACTTAATGTACTAACATCTGCGTGTGTTCAGTAATTCCTGCTAATAATCACTTGTTCTTGTCAAGTAGTTTTTTTTCCCCCCTCATGAATAACCAGCTTCCCCTTTATGTGAACTCACAACTTGCATGGTTATGGGGGGAAAAAATCTTGATCCTACGAATATCTTCTTTTAATAGAGTTGTTTCTGAGTCATATTTACTGTTACTGATACCTATTTTTGCCACTGTTAGCATTATCACAGCAATTCATTTTTGTTGTCTGTGTCATTGAGCTTCTATAAAACTGACATCTTATTTCCATTTCTGAATATTTGCTTTTAGCATTGATCTATGAAGCAGAAAGAACATGGCTTGACTTGTGTTAGGGGAGCTGGCACATGGGAAAATCTTTTTTGCCTTGTAAATGGAGAAAAAATATGGAATTAC